GTTCCAGAGATGGATGTTGTATCCCTTCCTGTACATCTGGTGCCATGCGGGGGTGTCGACCATGCTCAATGAAAAATGGAGATAGACCTGTTGATTCGGAAGCTTGGTTGTTATATGCAAATTCCGCTGTGGGCAGTAATGTGGCCCAGTCAGTTTGTCGGTAGTTGCAATACATGCGTAGATATTGCTCCAGAATTTGGTTGACTCGCTCGGTCTGTCCGTCCGTTTCAGGGTGATAAGCAGTAGACATCGTAGATTTGATATGAAGTTTCTGACAGAACTCCTGGAATAGTTTGGCTGAGAACTGTGTGCCTCGATCGGATATGATCTGCCAGGGAATTCCGTGGAGTTTGAATACTTCAGTATAGAAAATCGATGCTACTTGAGATGTTGTCACCATGTCGTCTACTGGGTAGAAGTGTGCATGTTTGGTGAACCTGTCGACGACTACCAAAATGGCAGTCTTCTTTTCTCCCCTGTGGTCTGGGCTTGGTGGTAGCTGTGTGATCAGGTCACAGGTAACCATTTCCCAAGGCCCCTCTGGTACTGGGTTGGGTTGTAGCAGTCCATAAGGCTTTTGCTTGCTTGTCTTGTTTCTCTGACATGTTACGCAGCCTTGGACGTACTTCTTGACATCAATGGTGAGCCCTGGCCACCAGTAATTCCTGCTAATCAGCTCTTGTGTCTTCCATCATCCGGGGTGTCCGGCCGTGGAGATGTCGTGGTGCAGCTTGACCAGCTCATTCCGCAGCGCAGAGTCTTTTAGAATGTAGACCTTTCCTCTTCTGAGCAGCAATCCATGCTCGAAGTTCCACTCTTGGAGGTCTTTTCCGAACTCTCGCTTGCCAGTTTTTAGTAGGTGCTGGTAACCTTTGGTCATTTCATCGTTTTGTAGTGTCGATTTCACTCTTTCTAGAAGTTTTGCATCATCAACTTCGGAGGAATGAGTGGCTGAGATCGCGTGGATGGCAAAATATTCAGGCCGAAGCAAAGTTCACCCTGAATTGTCATTGCTCACCCCCTTCTCATGATCTGGCCTCCTGGACAGAGGATCGACACGCATCATCGTCTTTCCGGAGCGGTGACGGAGAATGAAGTTAAAATGTGTAAGGTAAAGTGACCAACGTGCTTGTCGTCTGGTCAGTGTCTGAGCTTGTCAGAAATAGGTAAGATTGAGGTGATCCGACCAGATCTCAACCGGGTGCGGGTGTCCTTCAAAGTATTGCCTATATTCTTCTAATGCCCGAATGATGGCTAGCATTTCCTTGTCGTAGATCTCATAGTTGCGCTCGTGTTCATTGAGTGACTTAGAGTAATAGACGACAGGATGCCAGAGTTCATCTTCTCCCAACTGTTCAAGGACTGCGCCTGTGGCAAAGTCCGAGGCATCTGTTTCTAATCTAAAGGGACGGATTGTGTTGGGGAGTGCTAGGATTGGGGCGGAAGTGAAAGCAGTTTTGAGGGCCTCGAATGCCTTTTGTTGAGGTTCTTCCCATTTCCATTGTGCGTCCTTACGTGTTAATAGAGTCAAGGGTCGGGTCATCGATCCGAAATCCTTGATGAATCGTCGATAGAAATTTGCCAGACCAAAAAATGCTTGTACTTGCTTTACCTTGGTGGGCACCGGCCATTTGAGCACGCCGTCGACCTTCTCTGAATCCATCTGTATCGACCCTTTTGATATTATGAGTCCGAGAAACTTGACGAAAGTGGTTGCGAAGTGACACTTTTCTGGTTTCACAAACAGGTCATTGTCTCGGAGTCGTTGTAGAACCTCTTTGGTCAGGCGGTCGTGTTCTTCCTGGTTATCCGTAAAGATGATGATGTCATCTATATAGACTGCCACTTTTCCCGTGCGGATGAGATCGCCTAGGACGTCGTTCATCATGGCCTGGAAAGTGCTAGGAGCATTACAGAATCCGAAGTACATTACAGTGGGTTCAAATAACCCTCTATGAGTAATGAACGCTGCTTTTTCCTCATCTCCCTTGTGAAGGCGTACATTATTGTACCCCCATCTCAGGTCTAGTGTAGTAAATATGCTAGCCCTTGAGAGTCCGTCAATAAGGTCATTGATTCGAGGGAGTGGGAATTTGTTCTTCTTGGTGACACTGTTTAATGCCCTGTAATCTTGGACAAGTCTAAGAGAGCCATCCTTCTTCTTGACGAAAAATACTGGGGCGGCGTAAGGGGATTTAGACGGTCGAATATAGCCTTTGGCTTGTTCGCCATCAATCCATTCGTCGAGCGAGTTCTTCTCTCGTAAAGACATTGGGTATACTTTTGCCAGTCTCGGGGTTGCCGTGTCTGGGACAAGATCAATTGCGTGATCATAGGGCTTACGCGTCGGCATTCTTTCCGAGCTCTTCTTCGAGAACACATCTCCGAATTGATGAAATTCTGGAGGGACGAACTTGGACCAATATTCTTTGTCCTGTGTCTCTTCTGCCAGCTGTTCTACCAAATGCTCCTTCACCTTCTTGCTTATACCTAGGATGTCGTGCACCATGTTACGAAGATCCTGGTCTTGCAAGTCTATCCAATTGATGAAGTTATCTTCCTGATCCCACCCGTCATCCATGTGTACGTCGGGAAGAATTGTCTCATCTTCGAGTCGAGGTTGCGATAGAAGGTTGACTTCTTCTTCGCATACTTTGACTCGTTGATTTCTCGTGTGTCTGCACCTTGAGAACATGACCTCTCTGTGTTCCCAGTCAACTCGGGGATTGTGTTCTTGTAGAAATTTCATGCCAAGGATCATTGACATGCATCCAAGGTTTGTGACGAGCAAACTCTCAGTTGATCGGTGCCCCCCGATTAAGATGTTTGTGACTACACGATGAGTAATTGCGCCACCCTTGTTGGGGCTGGCGTCTGCGTTGAGGATTCGGATTTCATGGTTTAGAGGTATCATCTTAAACCCGTGCTTCTCAGCGAATCTTTGGTCGATATAGCAAGAGAATGCTCCAGAATCCAATAGTGCCGTCGTCTGGATTTCCCGTGATACGAATCTTATCGGCAATTCGATCGAATGTTTAGAAAAACCTGCAGATGCAATATATAGATAGTCGCTAGGTACATTCGTTCTCATGGTACTAATACAATTGTCCTGAAGTGTGACACCAGATTCGTCTACACTTCGTAATGAAAATCCTCAGAGAATTCGTCCAGCTCGACGATTCTCGCATTGGTGTCCTTTGCCGTGGATGCCGATGCCGTTGATTTTGTGCCCGTGCTTTTCACCTTGCCTTTGCCCTTGCTGGACGGTGGTGTAGTCGTCGTTGTGCTCATCCCACGAAGTGCAGCAATTGCTTGTTCCAGTGCCGCAATTTGAGCTGATGAGCCCGTGCTACTTTCTTCTTCCACCTGCTGCACGTTTGTCGCCTTGCCCTTGCTTCGGGGCGGCTCGTGTCTGAAACCGCTTGCCCTTGTATTCAGGCTTGGGGGAGGGACACCGCTTTCCTCGTTCATAGGTGTGCTTTCCGCAAAACAAACATAGTTTGTTTGCCAGCCATCTGTCCTGTTCCGGGGATAACTCATGGGCGATTCATGCACTTGTGTCCATTGCGTTAGGGTCCTTGGGAGCGGTTGCCCTGGTCGTCGCGGTCTGTCCAGTAGACTTGTTTCCCGTCATTTGTTGGAGATGTTTGATTTCTATCTCCAGGCAGAACTCGAGATAGTCCATCCAGGTGGTTGGAATCTTCGAGGGGTCCAAAGTCTCCGTTACCGACATGACCATTTGAATGTGGGTCGACCGTTGTTCCCTGATTTTGACGATTAGATCTTCATCAGAGTATCCTGATTTGGGAGCGTAAGCCCTGAAATTCTCTGCGAAGGCAATCATCGTTTTGTGGCGTATTGCGCAGTGTGCATCTAGCAGGGATTGTGCCGTGCGCTTGGGGTCAAGCGTCTTGTATGCCATTTCCAGTTTCCTGGTGTATTCTGCCCATGTACCAACATCTTGTCCGGAGGCGAGCTTGATTGCGTACTCTTTCATGTATAGAGCGGCTCCGCCTTCCAGATGCGCGTTGGCTTGCCGAATTTTGTCCTTGTCGTCCGTAAAATGGTTATAATCGAGCCAGATGAGCAGGTTCATGAACCAAGTTTCAAAGTTTTCCGACGACTTTCTTCCCGAATACTTGGGAGGATCGGGGAGCTTGATTCGGTGGGGCGACTGACTGAATTGACCGGCCGGTGGTAGGATACCTGTGGAGGGCGCATTGATGATGGCATTATTGAGTCGGGACTCTAAGCCAACGATGTAGGTGGTGGTCTTTTCCTGAGCCTCCTTCAGGGCGACCATGTTGCCGTAAAGGGCGTCCATCTGACCCTTTATCTCATTTTTGTAGTCTTCGAAGTCCTTGCGAATTGCTTGGGCTTCGAGTGTCAGACTGTTGTTTGCCTTGATGAGCCGTTCGTTGTCGGCAGAGAGGGTGCCGATCTGGGCTCTTGCAGTTTTTAGCTGGTCTCGTATTTCTACTGCCATTATTTCGACGTGAATTCGAGCCAGTACTTCATCTTCCAATGAGGCCACAGTGCGCTCGTGACGCTCATCCATCTTTTGACGTAAAGCCTCGTACGAGCTTACAACGTCTCTCATGACAAATGATCGTACTACGTTCATTACCCATTCCTTAACGTCGTTTGGAATGGTGTTGGGTGCAGCAGCATTGGCAGCTTCCTCAATGGTTGCGTAAGGGACTCCCTGCCATTCCCAAGTCTGAGGTGTGGAGAATGCTGGCAGGGTAGTGGGCGACAGGTTTCTGACTACTCCCGACACCTTGGGTGTGCTGCTGTTGTGTGGTTCTTCAGCAGGGGCAGCTGGTCCTGTTTCAGATGATGTGGAAGTGGCCTGACTCCTCCAGGGGTCAGCAGGCTCACTCATTGTGTGTTCTCCGGGGAACGAAACACCTTCAAGGTTGTATTGAGACATGGGGATCGATGTCGAGGATAATGGGAATGATGTGACGGACAATGTGTTAATCGATCGATTCTCAGCCTTAGAAGGGCTCGGGGTTCTCCTCGATGAGTCCTTCTTCTTCTAACTCCTCTCGTAGAGCTTCAGCTCGGTAGTGCCAATATTCTCGCTCTTTCTCAAGATCAGGGATGAGCCGGAATGGTGCCGAGTAGGTGGTGTAGCCGTGTACTTGTACCGTGTAGTGGTAGAGTACTTGTTGCCAATTGGTGACGAGAGGTTGATAGATGAAATACGCGGTGCAGATGACTGTTAGCTGTCTCTGCGCCGGACGATAGAAGTCCACGATATAGTTCTCGTATATAAAGCCGATTGCGTATCTTGGCATACAAAATTATTACTGGTCCTAGTAAGGCCAGTAGCACGACTCCTTCTCAAACTTTACTATCTCCTTTCCTACGCGCTCCTGCTCCTTATTGATCCCCTTGAAGGAAATCTTCCCTAGTCCTACGCAAAGCTTGATAGCGATGCGCCTATCGACGAATGTGAAATCGTGTCCTGCTCCGATGCGCTCGTTTATCACTGATAGATGTCGAAGAATTCTGTCTCGACACTGTAACTACTCCTCTGTGAACTTTGCCGCAATATGTGGCTGCTGCAAGACTTTGTATCGCTGAATAGTAGCGTATACAGTTGGTGCGATGTTCTCGGGGAGAGTTCCTTTAGGATTTTCGTGAATTCCGCGAGGGTGATAGCTCTTTGAGAGTGCGAAATTGAGGACGTCAATGGCGGGGAATGTAGCGTAGGGATGAACGGGGTGAGGTGGAATGAATGGGGTGAGCGCGTCTTTTGGAATGCCTTCGAGCCAGAGGCTAACCTTGCGTTCTTGTTGGTCATGCTCAGCTGTGATGCCTTGTGAGCTAGCTTGTGGGGGCTTTGCTCGAACGAGATTCCCCTGAGTTAGGCGATGAGTGTGACGGGGATCTCGTTGGTACGGGTGGTAGCGTCCGTTGGGCGGAATGATACCGTTGTGTACTTGAGGTGCTTTGCCAGTTGATGCAGCGCTGTTCCTTTTGAAGGAAGGAAGCGGCTTAGGCGGTAGAGGCGATGTGGAGTGGTATGAAGGAAGTGGTGTGGAAAAAGCCCTGCCCTGGGCGGATGTTTCTCTGGGCGAAAATGTGCGGCTACCAGTGTTAGACACTTGGTAGGGGCGTAAAAGGTCAGTCTTATTCTAATGTCACGGCACGCCGATGACAAAGATAGACAACCAAATAAGGAATCCCCTTGAGGGTTCCTGGCTGAGAGCCTACAGTGAAGAGCTGTGGCTATACGATGTGCCCACTGACGAGGCCTAGTAGCTGTTCGCAGAGTAAGACTTACTGGCGACGCTAGAGGCGCTATCACACAGGTGAGGATGCAATAGGATGTATAGCACACTGAGAGTGTCTGGTAAGACCCCTCTGTGATGGTAGTGGTGGACGAAGGAGAATAAGACTGAGGTCTCCTCCTCGTCTCGCTGGTCCTTATATACATGATTGCTATGCTACTGTATAGTATTACCTAAGCGAGTCACACGCTATCCTACTGGTCAGTGCCACAATCGTACGACCTGTCCCAATTATCCTGATTGGCTGCCTAATAATAACTCACGGAGACGGAGCTCCTCTTGAGCATGCAATATGGTGTCATGGCGATTGCGACATATGATGTCATGCCGAGGAGTTCGGTGTCACGTGACAATGCCGAGAGAGATCCGAGGTCATGTGACTGGATGCCTCATTATCTTATCTTGTTAGGTCATGTGACTTCTTGTGCGACGAGAAATGATGAAAAATGATATGCTCCTTAATAGCTTTTGTTCTTATAATGACTTGTCAGGTAAAACCGTGACAGTATCTTGTTAAATGGTTAGACTACGACTATAGTAACAATACGTGGGAACTGCTGGAAAACCTCACAAATGTCAAAGACAAAGTAGAGGAATTCCACAAGACACACCCAGACGCTCCAAGAGCAAAGCCGCGAACACGCAAAGCGCACAAAATTGCCCTGTCCGACCACCCTGATGAATTCATGTTCTTCTTCCGCACTCATCCAAATGCCCGAGCACCCTACAAGGGTTCTGCAGAAGCTGCGGGCTGGGATGTCAAGTCCATACAGGACGTAGATATCCCTCCACACTCCAGGATGCTCATTGGCACCGGACTTGTGGTTGATCCCCCCCAAAGTGGACATACATTCGAGTGGCCTCCCGAAGTGGGCTAGCCCTCAAAGGAATTGATGTCGCAGCAGGGGTAATTGGCCCAGATTACACAGGGGAAATCAAGGTGCTTCTCGTTAATATGACCAGCAAACCATTCGAGGTCAGGACAGGCGACCGTGTCGCACAACTCATATGCGAACGTTATGCTCCAGGAATCATTTCTGAAGCAGATAGTTCACTCGCAAAGCGAACCATACGAGGTGCCAAAGGCTTTGGCTCATCGGGACGATGAACCTTGAGAAGGGGGTGATGTCACGGTTTTTACCTGACAAGTCATTATGGAAGCCGATGCTATTAGAAGCATATTATTTTCATCATTTCTCGTCGCACAAGAAGCCACGTGACCTAATGAGAGATAAGATAAAGGCATCTAGTCACATGACCTTCGGATCTCTCTCGGCATTGTCACGTGACACCGAACTCCTCGGCATGGTGTCATATGTCGCAATCGTCATGACGCCATATTGCGTGCTCAAGAGGAGCTCCATCTCCGTGGGTTATTATTAGGCAGCCAATCAGGATAATTGGGACATGTCGTACGATTGTAGCACTGACCAGTAGAATAGCATGTGACTCGCTTAGGTAAGTACTGTACAGTAGCATAGCAATCATGTATATAAGGACCAGCGAGACGAGGAGGAGACCTCAGTCTTATTCTCCTTCGTCCTCCACTACCATCACAAAGGGGTCTTACCAGACACTCTCAGTGTGCTATATATCTAGTATCATCCTCATTTGTGATAGCGCCCCTCGCCTCGCCAGTAAGTCTTACCTTGCGACTAGCGACTTGGCCTTGTCAGTGGGCACGTCGTATCACCACAGCTCGTCACTGTAGGCTATCAGCCAGGAGACCCTCAAGGGGACTCCTTATTTTGGTTGTCTATCTTTGTCATCGGCGTGCCGTGACACTCAGCTACACCGAACATCAAGGCCTGAGTTTAGTCATGGAATGTCAATACTTATTGAGGTGTTTCGGAGGTCAGGGTTGAAGCTTTTATGAGAGCCAGAAGACTCGCAATACTCGGAGCTGTATCAAAACTTAGTGAGGTGTTTCAGAGGTCAGGGCTGAAGCTCTTATGAGAGCTATTAGAAGACTCGCAATACTCGGAGCTGTCAGACATTTGAATCTGATATGTTGATGCGTTGATGACCGGCAATGCGGTTCCGGGGTAAGGTCGCGTCAAGAAGATCGTTATGTATTGGTGTGTAACCGTCGGTTGTCACGGCAGCGATAAGGAGGACAAGGATCAGTTCTATGTAATGACTTCAGGCCCGGCCAGTATATATTGTAGGCATAGGAATTGTTGTTGAATGAGTGACGTGTGGACAAGGAAAAGCCGAATCGAGTAGGCGGTCGAAAACGAGGCGCGGAACGTGGTGGCCCGTGACGCCGGCAGTGCTTCGTTTCGTTCTTCTCTTCTACCCTCCTTGCTATCTACAATTGCGGGCAATCAATCGCGCCCTCGTGCACCATCTTTACGCTCACGTTTTTCATGATCTCTACCTGCGAGCACTCTCTCCCAAATGACCACTCGTCCGCCCTTAGCTGCTAGGTCGCGCCCTCTATCTGCGATTTACATCGGTTCTGGATCAACTCCAACCCCCTCTCCACCTTCGATATCTGATCTGCCCGAACCACCAAGCCCGCCATCGTCCATAACATCAGGCCTGCCATCTCCGCCGGCCACGAATTCAACTGGAAGCGGGAGCGGAGGCGACAACAGCACGACCGCCGGCAGTCTCCGTCAACGATCTGCCTCGCAGTCTACCTCAGGTACAACCATGACCAATGGCACTGGTGACAGCCCCCACTCCATCTCAAAGACCAGACGCTCTTATCATGACGACGAAGATGACCTCAGCGACGTCGAAAATGAAGAAGTGTATGCTACAACGCTTGACGATAGACGAAGAACCCTCAAGACTGCCACCAACGACAACATGAGCACGTTAGAACGCGTCAGGAATTTGACGCAACGCAATCGCTTAGTGAGTGCTTTACTATTCTACGGTTTTCAATGTCTAACAATCCCTGCCGACTTCTTTCTCGCGTCGTCATTCTTTTGGCCGTGCATTGGTCATCTGTACATGGTTTGCCCCGTTTTACATCCTATGCTCCGCTGCAATGCGCTTGACGCGTTTTCCTCGCGCATACACCGATCTGCGACCCCAAACTGTTGCGCGCCCGTGCGTCATCGATTGCTCGCGTGTTGCTTGATGTACGACAGGTCCTCGATAAACTTTCTTCTGTATCTCGACCGCGCGCTGCCACATCGGCCGCCCGTACGCCCATCTCTTCTCCGTCGGCCGGCTCCTCGAAGACCCCTGTGACGCCTCCGTCAGGGGGCTCGTCGTCTAAGTCCTCCCGCACTTCATCCGCACAGCCCCGCATACAACCAGCCTCCACCATGACCCTCAATGGCCGCCGCCACAGGCCAACGCCTTCTGGCTCTGACACCGAGCGCGAGACCAAACGTCTGTCCACGCAGTCGAAGTCGTCATCCGAAGACCAGGCGGCCACTCCACCTACAGGCTACACTCAGTCTCATCTATCATCCATGCGCGAGAGGCGGGGCTTGTCTCCCCCTCCCTCCCCGGCGAGGGAACCTCGACCCCTGCGGGACAGGATTAGAGGTGCCTCTCCAGATCCTTCGACGCGAACGCCCTATAAACGTCTATCGGCCACGAAGTCAACATACGAGGGCCGCAGCCACACGGAAACCACCGGCAAACGAGATGTGGCGGCAGCTGCGTTGGCCGCGCTCGAATCTCTCCGACGAGACCCGATAGGTACTCGGACACGGCAATTAGTGTCAAGACAGAGCCGCGAGCAGGACCTAGAGATCAAGAGTGCGCACGGGAAGGTACGGTATTCTAAAATAGTGGGTTTTGGAGCCTTGTTCACAGTTATTTGTACTTTAGATTCACGGTCTACAAACGATACCTCCGCCTCGCAGCGAGAGATACAGTGGAACAGCCCAGGAGTCGCCTACTCGATCGAGAGTTGCTGCCATCTCGCAACTGTCTCCGCAGCGAACAGGAACTACACGGACATCGACTGCGCGTGATTTGACGAGGCATCCAACGAGATGGCAGTCGGAGGATCTCTCCACCCGCGTTGACGAGAGTGAGGGGCCTCTCACAAACGGAACCAATGCTGTGAGCCCTGGACGACGTTTAGGGCACAAGGTCGGCACTTCGGAGAGTCATATCTCGCCTTCAAGTTGGCGAACTTTGACAAGCGACCGCCTTCGTACTGCGGGTTCGACGAGGCAGAGAAACGTTGGGGAGGATCCCTTCGTAAACGGCACGGCAAGTTCTGCTACGGCTATGCGGAGAACGAAGTCCACTGGTCCTCCGACCGCTGAAGCAGTAGACCGGGAACTGCCGACGGCCCAAACGAGATCGAGAGAGCGTGTAGTGGAGGGCTTTGGGCCTCCCAGCGCCCCCCGGACCGAACGGACACCGCTGACGAGCCTCCAGAAATACAAGGAGCGCAATAGCTTCTCAGCTGGTTTGCTCCCTCGACCCGGGACTTCGATGGCAGCATTGCATCACGATAATCCTGACTACGTTCCACCAAGGACTGCGCCATCCCGATTACGTACATACAGATCAACATACACTCTTGCAGATCGCGAAAAGATCGCGACCCCTCATACACAGCATGAGTTCGCGCGAATTTCGGCGGAACTTGCATATGCGTCTCCACTCACGATGCAGAGGTCTACCTCAGGGTCGTCTACATCGGGACATGACTCACATAGCGAGCATCGCCGGCTGATGCTCGAGGCGCTCTCAATGTTCGAGTCTCACCTGTCGCGTCTCCCGCCGATGGGTCAAACGACGACGAACACGATCCCGGAGCTCTTCCAGAGCGCGCAACATCTCGTCCACTCGCTCGATATGCTGAACGGCATGCTGAAGCTGGACACGACCAAGGCGCTCGAGGCGCAGATTGAAGCGGAGATCGCAGACGGCAACGAGGAGGTTGACCTTGCGGAGCTGTGGCGTTCGGTCGGCGCGGACTACAGGGAGAGCTTGCGGATCAGCGACGAGGTGGTGCGAAGCATGACGGATTTCTTGCTGGGTGCGGGGAAGGTTCTGCGCGAGGCAAGCACCCTACAGGGTCAACAGCAGCATCTACGGACTGTGAGCTTAGATGAAGACGCTCCGAGAAGATCCGCGCTAGATGCTAGTCTGCCCACTCCCAGCGCCAGGAGTTCTGAGGATGCGAAGAGCAGGGTGACAAGGCGGAGCTGGGAGGCGCGAGAGCAGACGGAACAAGTGACGAGGCTGTCAAGTCGAAGTAGAGAGCCAAGTCGCGTTCGCGCTGCGTCACCTGTAATGAGGGGCTCAGCAGCTTCGAGCAGCGAGGGACGGAGTGTCGCTGGTGCGGTTGGGGAGCATACGCCACAGACGGTGCGGAATGGGTCTCAACTCACGCATTCGTCGTCGGTCCGACGGCTCTTAAGCACCAGAGAGCAACGAGCGGCGCCACAGCTCGCTCCCATCAGCACCTCTCTGGGTCATCAGACGTCTTCGTCCTATCAGTACGAGCCCTCCCCGACACCGTTGACCAGAATCTCGCGCTCTATGGTCATTGAGCGTCCCCGCACGTCTGCATCTGTTCTCGCGAAGCCCTCATTGGCCACTTTGCCATCGGAGTCGCTGCTGAGCCGCCATCAAAGCATCACCGACACGAGCAACCGTCGTAAGATCTCATCCAGCTCGAACATGACTATCCGGGCGGACCCCTCGACGTTCAGCTCGGTCCTCAAGCCGTCGAACGCGACCACCGCTGTCACTACCGCGACCGTGTCTGCGCAGACCTCGCCTGCGGACATAGACGCGCCATATCCGTACAACGACGAGTCTCCTTCTGAGCGCAGACCTGCGCGCAGCGTTGTGAACGGCACGACTCCTGGTCGTCTGCCGTCGAGGTCGGTATCTACGCTGAATGGCTTGCAGCAGCGTGAGCCGGGCTGGCTGCATGCGATGCTCGACTCTCCCCACCCGGATGAGGAAGAACCTGTTACGAGGCTTGCGCCGGCGGCGCCGATCTCGGGGTCAGAAACGCGGCGGACACTGGGCTTGCGCCCGCGGACGTCGATGGAGAGGGAATACAACGAGTTCGGCGTCCTTGAGAATGGCCGAAACACCATAGGGAGTCGAAGGGCGAGCGCGACGGCATCGATGTTGTCGCTTGCGAGCAGGGAACGGAGGAAGACGGTCACGGAAGTGTTCCAGCGGTAATTATCGTATGATGTGTGGTCGGTCATATGATGCGTGTGGTCGTGCGTCGGTCTGGGTGAGCGCGCGTGTTATGTCTCTGGCGTGGAGTGAGTTTACTCATTGTGTCTGAATAGGGCGATTGCCTGCCGGTCAATGCGTGTTGTATATAGTCATGACGTGCAATTGTCTTCCGTCATCCATTTTCTGCAGCAGCATACCCCTCTCTTTCCGCCATCATAATTTGTCGTCTTTTTATTCCATTCCCTTTTTTCATTGTCTATTCCTGTTTCTGTCACTATTTTTACTCCTGTCTTCACTTGTTCTTGGCCTAGATGTACAGCTTGCACACTGCAGTGTACATAAAGTTGGCTTGTGGTGCGTCTTGTGGGCTACCCGTCTCCTCTCCTCTGTCTCATGTTGTCCTTATTTTCGTACATAGGTTTGTCTAGCCTGGTGCAATTCTTCTCATCCTCTCGTCTCCTGATCAATCTCTCATCCTCGTTTTTGTGTCATTATTGCGGACCCTCTCGCACGTATTTTTACGGGCCGTTGTGCCACCATGATGCATTCTCCCAGAGTACCTTCGTGCTAGCAATCGGCTATAGCAATGTAATGGGGTCAATGCAGGCTGAAATATAGAGCGGTCGATTGCAGTGTACTTGTTCTTCATTATGTTCGAGAGCGACGCTGGTTTGCCTATTGCGTCTAGATGTTCTTAGACTCATGGCCACATCACGATTCGGATGCAGAATGGTCGGATATCGAGCGGATCAAAAAATAAGACAATTGTGTCTGCGGATGACATTGAGATGTCCTGTTGCCGAGGATGGTGTCACAGGCACCGAGTTACAATAGGTAAGCGTCTATCGATGCAACTCAGCGCCGTGTTGCGTGGAAACTGTTGCATATCTCTTATAGAAGATACATAACGATCACTGGACACCACGTTCATGTGCGCTGCGATGTGGACGTCGAACATTTGCAACCACATGGCAAACACTAGACTTGCCAAATTAGGCGACGAGGACACCGAAAGCGGAAGCGTCGCTGCGTCAACGTAGTTGCGGATGCGGTAGCGCGAGTTAGTCGAGAGCCGAGAACATGGCGGTCAGGAGGGCCCTCAGGTGGACGACGAAGCGTAGATATCTAAGGACACGGTTTATATTGAGCTTAGATTGGTATGACAGGCTTCTGCGAGCACGTAATGACAGATTTGGACGGAACAGGGTTGTTGAGGGCGTCCAGGCGCCGGCATGTTTGTCAGGCCATCTCCCGAAGAGCTATTCCCCAATCAGCACCACACCACACAAGCGGTGCTTCAGGCGGAGACAACACTTTTGCCTCGCGACATAGTTCATCGTGCCGTCCATCAGCGCACCTGTTCGCTGCTCTCCGCTGCAGCGAAGCTCGGGCGGGGACAGACAGCCATCAATGCAGACAGAGGAATCGCGGAGTTCCGGGGTCCGCATACGAGGCGTAGTGGGAAGAAGGTTTCGGCGTCTGACATGCCCAAAACAGTCAATCAACGCCACGCCGAGCGGTGTCATAATATCGCAGTCGTTCCGCAAGGTTATCGCCAATTTCCCGCCGTGTCCCTTGGGCGTCGCGCACGATATTACAATGAAAATTGATTTGTTTTGCGATGGCAGCGCGCAGGAGGCACTTTGACGGCGTGAAAGCGAGGACGGGAGTGTTGAAGGAGAAGCATAGAGTGATCTGCGTGATTGGGATTGGGGGAGCTGACTAGTGTTTCAATGTGGGATTTATATCGGACCAAACAGGTGGCGACGGTCGCTTCGCCCTGGCCCAATCCCCCTGGACCCCAGTCGAACCCACCTCATTCCTCTCCCTCCCTCCACCATCACCATGAGCCGCGCCAGCAGATCAAGCGCGGCTCCTCCGCAAAACATGCCCCAAGTCCAGGAGATCGTCATGGGCCCACCGCCCCTGCCTCTTCAGGTCGTGCAACCGCCTCCGCCAAAACCGAGGGAACCCCAGGAAGTTCAAGACAAGTACAGGAGACTCAAACGAAAGTACTTTGAGCTCGAAGAAGTGAGTAATCGCGCCCTCGAACGTGTGGATGGATCCGCATTCGACAAATTGGCGTGCTGATGAATGTTCGCCTCGTTTGCGATCTGCGCTGGCCACAGAAACACAAAGAGACCATCATTCAGCTCAAGACTTCAGGCGAACGAAATGTAAAATGGAGATCAGAGCGAGCGTGGGTATTCTAATGTGCAACTTTTGATCGTGTAGCCTGACTGGAGGTCCGGCCAGGTTGCTGCTTGATCGGATTTCCGAACTCGAGGGCAATCCCCAGGTCAATCCTGGAGCACCCATCCCTGCACCCCCGTTTTCTGCCTTTCCTCGCTCGCTCCTCTCAGTCCACAACCAGAAACTCTTCGTCAACAACCTCCGACAAGCCATCGACGAGGTTGAACGCGAAGATCCCGACGTCGACCCCTTCGTCCTCTCACGTCACATAGGGCCCGAGGCACGAAAACGCCAAGAGGCCGAGCTCAAGGAAAAACAGGAGGAAGAGGCGAGGGAGGCACGGAGAGCGGCGCGAAACAAGCTCAAGGGCGCACAGAAAGGCAAAGATATCGGTACGCCGTTGACGTTCGCACCCCAGCAGCCCAATGCGTCTGTGTTGGTGTCGAGTTCGGGCACACGACTACGACTCAAACCTCCGGCACCTCCTTCAGGAGAAGCTGGGCCCGCATCTGCGTCATCCTCCGGCGCGCATCACCAGTCGGGGCCTCCTCCGCAACAATCCTCACATGGCTCGGTCTCCGGTGTGCACCACTCGCGACAGCGCTCCGAATCGCCTGTTTCACCGATTGAACCTTCGCCAGATGACTTTCCGCTACGTCAGTACCAGCAGCCGCCACCGCCACCCCCTCCACCACAGTCAGAGATGCAGTTAACACTGCGCGCTTCGCCCGCTGGATTACGGCCATCAGACATCCAGCGACACACGAAACCCAAGCGTCTCAAGGCACACACGGTCCAAAGCAAGAGTTACAACATCCCCATGGTCCCGCGTGATAAGCACGGAAAGCCTCTGCTGCCGCTCAGTGTTGGTATCATGACGGTAATCAACCTCGGGGATATTTGTATGCGTGAACACTTCCACACGGAGCGCTATATTTTCCCGATTGGCTATGAAGTTACAAGGTACGTCTATCACCTTGTTTCCGTCAGCGATTGTATACTGAGCGCTCCGAATGTATATTTGCAGGCGCTACCTGTCGATGATCGATCCAAATGCAGAGGTCGTGTATCACTGCACCATTCTTGATGGAGGGGACGGGCCCAAATTCAAGATTGTCGCGGGAGACGTTCCCGAGAAGCCTATGGTTGCGGGCACCGCGACTGGCGCGTGGTCTGCCATTGTGCGCCAGGCGAACCACATTCGACACCGACAACACAGCAACTCTGTCTCTGGTCCCGATTTCTTCGGTCTCGGGCAGAACACGATCAAACATCTCATTCAGGAGCTGCCAAACGCGCACCAGCTCAAGGACTACGTCTGGCAGCACTTTGTTGAGGGAGGGTGAGCATATGTCTTAGCTTGTCGGCGCCGCGGCGACGGTTTGCAGTAACTCATTGGGAGATGATAGGCCCCTTGGAGGGAGACATGCCGCTGTGATACCGGCACTGCCAGAGGAACACGACGGACAGATGATCCCAAGCGGCGTATACATGGACATGGACCAGGACCGAGCGAGGGAGCTTCAAATCGTTCAGGTCGACCACGACGGTCCTGTTCGCGGACAGGCATACCTTCCACCGCCCAACATGGCTCCCATATCATTTCAGCAAGAGTATCAAGAGTACGTGCGCCCACCGGAGCGTGAACAGCAGCGCGGACGGAGAAGCTCGCGCTCGAGCAGCCATGCGTACGAAGAATACGGCCCTGGCAGTAGCGCGACACCTGTGCAGGCCATGTCCCCTCCGGACCACCGGATGTCGCACTCGCCGGTCCTACACCGCGACCGCGACCGCGAGCGGGCCTCGGAACACGACCACTACTCCCCGCAGCAGGGACTCCCACCGCGCTCACACTCGCACTCCTCCGTGGTCTCGTCGCCGCACGCACATATGCAGTCTCCGTATGCACAGCCACACAATGGCGAGGGCGCGCGCACGCCGAGGCATTATGTGTCAGCGCAGTCGCCGCCGCCGGTGCCCGCGACCCTTGCGAGCATTATGCATGCGTATCCCGCACCGCCGATCGCGCCTGCGGGCTCAGGTGGGTCGGGCGCAGAGTCAGCGGAATATGTGTATGCGAACGGGAATGGGAGTGGAGGGAGGAGGAATGGGCATGGTGGGATGCAGACGTTCCCGCCTAGTTGAGGGCTGTGCGCGCGTGGAGGCGGTGAGTTGCAGGCCAGTGGGTGGGCGTGTGCAGGTGCAGCATTGCCATCTCGTCGTGTTTTTTTTCGCTCTCTGTTGTGTTATTGTACTCATTTAGCCATACAGTGGCGGCAACCGAATGGCCCGATGCATAGGGCTTGTAATTCGTGAGACAATTCGATATCCAAGTTGTACATCGGATTCGTGACCGTGTCAAGGCACGTGCCTCGGCGTGTCGCGCATTTTTCTGTGCGGTCGAGTTTCTCTCCTTCTTTTCCAATCGCCTCCAGCCAGTCCTTCGCGGGGCCGCCGCGCTGCATGGTCCGTCCCCATGTATGCGTGGTGCCTCACCTCGCGGAGGGCCCGGCAGCCAGCCAGGCAGTCGAGAAGTGAGGTGCGGGGTCTCTCGCTCTCATGGCTCCTGCCGTGGTTGTGCGTCTTTCGAGACTTGCGGGGCTAGATGAAAATAATCGAGTGGTTTCAGATGAGCCTCAGTGGGGACTCCTGCCGATGCGAGGTCAGTGCCGGAAATGGGGTAGTATATGGGGTTGACATTAATCTTTCCCGTATTCTGGTTTTTTTTCATTTGTATGCGCTTTCTGTGGTAATATCATGTTCGACGCCTCGTTCGGCCTCAGAGCAATCGTGACTCAAGTTCTATGGGGCGATACTCGAAGAGTAACGGCGACGCGAATGTCACATTCCCGTACTGCTGGTATATGTGCTAGTAAGAGTAGCCAACGACAACATTATGACAACTCGACGATAATAGCCAGGACATCTAATCGACTTAAAATTAGCACGTAGTTGAGTGCACTGTACATGAAAACCAGTAACGGTAGAGTCAACGTCAGACGGGCAAAACTCCGGATCCATACTATCAACACTGAAAGGGGGTATATATGCGAAAGATCAAACAATGAAAGCGAATTATGGACTGTTCTACAGATGACAGCGAAGTTCGTCCGGATGCGGGAGATTTAGATGGGTCGTCGCAGCAGAAGTCGTGAATGATGAACGTACAATGAGTTACAAACCTGCCATCATGAAAAAGCTTCCTTCGGTGATAGTACTCATAATCAACGTAGATCACTCACCGTATATGTGTGAACGAGCGGCTCAAAAGGCCTTGCCAATCATCCTCCTGCATCAATTTCAACGCCCTTGCGGACCCCTTTCAAAGAGTGAGTTACGGAATAACTACTCAAGCGTTTGGAAGCGAGGAACGCGGGCAGGTCTTCCTCAGGCATACGCAAGCAGTCGATCGGGATGAGCCCCCGCCGGCCACTACCCACTTTTTCTGCATACGCCCACCCATCATCGAAGCGCAGCAGCATGCGTACCGTCTCGCCGGGCAGCACTGACATCTCGTCATCCATCGTTGGGACGAACGGCCTGCGGATGGTCTCGACACGCGCAAAGTGCGATGCGGTCTCCGGGTCTGCAGTTAAGAACGAATTGGCCGTCTGCGCATCCCAGCCATCCTCCGTGCTCGTCTCGGCGCTGAGACTCATGCCCACATTCGCCGAGTGAGAGAACGGGTTTTCTGGCGCTGTCACGTACTCGTCCGTCGACGCAGCGTGGATCGACTCCCGCGTGCTTTGCACTGACTTGACGCTCTGCGGGCGATGATCTTGCAACGGGGTGGGAAAGTTGCACTTCTCGGAGGAAGGTGATGGCCGCATTGATATCGGACTGGGAAGCGTCGGACTGCGCTGGTTCGTCACAACATTGTTAGGTATAGCAGGCCATTCCAACCAGATTAAGGACCCCGCCTCCGATTGTGCTCTTTCGTTCTCCCAGCTATCGCGTTCAGGACTTCGAATTGTCGGCAGCGGATCCGAGTCAATGGTCGCGGCAAGAGCTGGCTCCGCAATAGAGCCATTCAGACTGCTCGGCCATACTTCTTCCATCTCTGGGATAACTTCTACATGCCGGCTCGGGGGCGAAATTGTGAGATTGGGCAGAGCGGACCGGGAGTTGGTACCTGACGACAGCGTGGGGACTGTTTCCCGCTGTTCGGACGATCTCCCAGTGACCAGGATTGCTCCAGCACCGAAGCTGCGCCTTTGGCTCGGGGGCGTGCTCACATCGGGATGGTCATGGAAGTAGCGCGAGCTGCTGACGGCGGCATTCCCACACGCACCTGCGTGTCGGCCAAAGAGCCAACGTCGCCGCCTCTCAAGACGTCGTGCAATGCCTCGCCGACGGAGGAGGAGGAAGGCAAGCACAAGAAGAAGGATGAATGCAAGTGTTGCAAGAGCGGCAATTGCACCCTTAGATAGATGATGGTTTTTGGCAGTGCTGGGGGCCGGACCACTCGACGCAAATGACGGCTCACCCCCAGAGCTGGAATGCCCGGAGTCCGGCCCCGAGCCCGAGACCGAACCTGCACTCGAATAAGGTGAGTAAGTCGATGTCAGTGTGGCTTGGGACGACACCGCTGAAGCGCCTGCGATGAAATTGCTGGCACTTGACATGGTGT